AAACAATGATTCCACCAGAATTAACACTGTTATATAAAATACCTGAAACTTATATTAAGGATTTATTACGACTTGGAGCAGAAATGTTACCACAAGATTATCTACAAAGACTAGTATCTCTATCACCAAGAGATGTTGATTTATGCTTAAAGGCAGTTGAAGTTTTAGATTTTGAAAAACCAATATTTGAAGAATTTCTAATGACATGGGGAGTAGTTTTAATAATGAAAGGAGATTATACCTTAATTCCAGAATTAACTAAAATTGTACAAGACTGGATTAGAAAATTATTAAAAAGTAAAAAAACTCTAGAAGGTGTACGTACTCATACCTTTATAGAATGTATATTAAAGTCTGCACAATATATTTCTACTGAAGTTTCATTATTAATGAAATATTTTGTTCGAGTATATGATAATAAAAGAATTATTGAAATACTATGGCAAGCTATTGTAACGTCTCCATTAGCAACAAAAATTGTTTGTCTTAGAATCTTTAATGATTTATTTGAAACATTTATTGAAAAAGGGGATTTAAATGAAAATATGATGAAAACTATGTTTTGTGTCATATATAGAGAAGCTAATACAAAAAATTTCGAGGATATAGCTGGTTTTTTACTTGCTAAAATCTATAATTGTATTGGGGAAGATGCTTTTAGAATTATTGAAAATAATGATGAAATATTTAATCAATACATTAGATTTAATGGAAAATATATTAAAGAAAAAGAGAGAATGACAATTGGAAGTGGAAAAAGAAAAGTAAGAGATGAACGAATTACTATTGTTGGACATGACCAACCAATTAGTATTGCTGAAAATAATGAAGATATTATTTTACATATTAGTGGAATTGATAAAGACCAACGACTAGACTCAAGCAAAGCATTAGATGAAATAAAAGCAGGAGGTATTGACTTAGAAATTTCAGAATCAAATGCCCAAAATAAAGAGAGACCAAGAAAATTTAGTTTAACACTTCAAAGAGGAAAAGTTCCTATCCAATTAAATAACCAAAATATAAATATGTCAATTAGTGTAGAAAATAAACCGTTAGAAAAAATTACCCCACCTAAACGTATGTCAGAAGAAAATAATGGAATTAAGTTGATTGATTTGGAGGAAGAAACAAGTCAAGTTGATAAAACAACTCAAAACTTGGAAGTAAATCTTGGACAAAATACTTCAGATATATCGTCTTTAGTTTCTCTTCTCAGTACTAAAGAAATTCAAAAATTATCAAGGCAATTATCTCCTAAACTATCTCCAGTTCAATCCCCAAATCATCTTAAAACACCAACTCTATCTCCAAATTCTCTTTTGAAGTCAAGAGGAATGAAAGTTATACATAAACCAGTCATAGTTCCAAAAGTATCTCCTACTGTTGGTTATAAACCTATAATAGAAAAAAGTCCTGTTTCTTCTGCTGTAAGAGTAAAACAATTAACAATGGAAGAACAACAACCCAACCAAAACAAAATAACTACAAAGAGACATAACCTTAATCTTATTCGTAGTCAACATGCAGTGAATAAAATAGAAGTTGTATCACCAATGGTTAAACCAATAATTAAATTAAATGTAACAGAACCACAAGATATCCCATTATCAATAGAAGTACCAAATAGAGAAGTTAGTACAGAAAGTAACAGCTCATTCTATCCAATTAATAATTCTACACCACTTGGATTTTTAGATAAAATATTGAAAACAAAAAAAGAAACACCACCACCAATACAAGTTAATACTGACTTTAAATTTAGTATTGCTGAACAAAACAAAGAACATAACCAACAAATTATAAATACAATTACAGGTTCAAAACCAGTAATACAATCTCCAATTGATCAATTTATTTCACAACCAACTCAACCTCCATTAATTAATCCACAGTTATTAGCATTACAAACAAGTATTAATTCAATAAAAAGAGTTTCACCAATAAGAAATCCAATAAATCAGGTTAGTCCTGATGTTGTACCAAATGCACTTAATTGGAAAGATTTATGCAAATAAAGTATTATAATTATTTAATTTAAAATTAGTGAATTTATGGTTTAAAGTACATTTAACTGTCATTATTCTCTTCTTCTGAAACATCTACTGCACCAAGAGGGACTTGTGCAACACGACAAACGCTTAATGGAATATATGAAGGACGATACTTTCTTTCTAACTCAGAACGTTTTTCTTCCTCCAAACGTACTAACTCTTCTACATCCCCTCCTAAAACTTGAATATTTGAGTTATTCAAATATAATACACCTCTTCTTACTTTTACTTGTCTCAAAGCCACCTTAAACCCAGGTTTCATTCCCATACAAATACCATCAATATGGTTTGATTCAAAGCCATAAATTGTTGTCGTACCATCTGTTAAAGACAATTTCATTACTCTATTTTTTGTTTCATTTAATTGGTCATCTATAGTGTTACCAATATCACTATATTCATCACATTGTAAAATGGCATGTTCCAAAATATCTTCTTTTGTATCAAATGAATAAGAACGTAAAACAGGATTAGAAGTTAAGCGAATATCATTATATAAAAATATATTATATATATACTCTGTTATAGAATTAATATCTGCAAGTAAATCAGAATGATTTTGTTGAATTTCTTGAAGACAGTCTGAAATAAAAGAATCTTTAAGAGCAAGTAAATTTAATTTTTGTTGAATTTGAGGAATAAAAGACATGAATATTAAAAAATAAGAGATTTTTTCTTTTAATAAAAAAAAGAATAATAAATTAATAATTTTATAATAATAGTTTAATTTAAACCATCAATATTAGTTATATTACTTGTATCATTTCCACATGATCGATCAAGTGATGACATTAAAGCCTGAAATGCTTCTTTACCATATTGTTCTTCTATTTTTTTACTTGCATTCATTTCATATTCTTTTTGTTTTCTTATTTTTTCTTCTTGAGACATTTCAGGTTCTTGAGGTTTTTTACTAACTTCTTTTAATTGAGAGTCTACAAGCTCTCTTAACTCATTATTATAATCACCAAGTCCAAGATCAGAAAGAGCAGTTAGTACATGGTCTGTACTTAATGTTTTTCTATTTGTATTAGCTGCTACATCTTTTGCTTGAGCAGCAATGATATGAATAAATTCAACACCACAATCAGCAACAACATCTCTAAAATCAGCTGAGACACGAATAGAATTAGATAAATTTTCTTTAATAAGCTTATTTATAGATGTTTTAGGAAGGCAATTTTCTTCAGACATTAATTCGTAGGGTTCTTATTTCTTGACTTTCTGGTACAATTTTATTTTATAAGTTCCCTTTCCATTATTTCCAGTTTCTAATTTATTTTTAATAGTAAGTTTTATTAAAATGATTATTTAATTTATTATTTCTAATCTTTTCCATTTTTATTATTTTAAAAATACTTGAAAGAATAAATGTTTTAAGTAAAGTATAGTTTCTGTTTCATTTCAAATCCAGTTAAAATGGTTAAATATTTAATTACTTTAAGGATCATTACAATAAGAGTACTTAAAGTATTTAATATATAAAAATGAGAATTAAAAGAAAAAGAGATGATAAGACAAAATAAATTTATACAAAACTTGATAAAAAGAGATCATTCTTTTTCACAGTGATCCTACTAGAAACAAACAATTCACAGAGATATTGATTAATAATTTTTCCTTTTTTAATAATATCATCCTTATTAAAAAGGAGTTTATTATTTAGGAATATTTTATCAATCAAATCACATTTTAAAGTTCCTTTTTTTCCTTTTGTATTTCTTCTCTCAAGAACATAACCAAATTCTGTTATGACATCTGAAAGAAAATGAAGTGATTCTGTTAATTTATTTGTTTCAAACCGCCGTTGGCAAGTTTTTTTTGATGTACCATGAGTTAAATCAAAATTATATCTTTCAGAACATCTCTTGTCTATAAAACAAACAACATCAACATAATCTTCTTCTCTTGATATTGAATCAACAACTAATATTTGTTCAAATACTTTTGCTTGTTTTATTGGTAGTCTTAGAGTTATATCAAAATATTGATTCAATAATGCTAAGAATATTGATTGTTCATAAACTTTATAATTTCTTATATCTTTGAAATAAGCAGGCTTTTTTTCATTACCATTTGTTGATTTTGATGGCTTCATTTTGAAGAGGTTTATCATTTCTTAGTTTTACTGAAAATTGGGGGTTGGCAGTAGTACAAAGGATTATTCTAATTTAATCTTTGTAGAAGTTCATACTATTTCTAAATCCATTGTTATGTAACTTTCCTATTGGATTAATTCTTATTCCTTTTTTTTAAAAAAAAAAATAAATGACAGTTAAAGTTAATTTTTAATTTCGTTGTTTTATATTTGGGTATATGAAATTTATATTCTTTAATATAGTTGTTTTTTTTATTCTATAAATTGTTTTATTACCTCTTTTTACGTTATAATCAATAAATTAAATTAAAAACATGTAACGTCTACAAAAATATAACTTGCGAAAAAATTATTTGATTATTTCTTTGAATTTTAGAGTCAATACACTAAAAATAGTATTTTTTCTTTTAAAATCAAAAAACGTGGAGACAGAAATACATTATTTGTCTATGACGTGGCAATTAATTAAAAAACCATAAATGATACATTACTATTTTGTTGATTTAAAGCCAATAAGACAAATTTTGTTTAAAACAAGTTAAAAACAAATACTAAAGAATTTTAACATGTACTTTTTACATAAAAAGGAATCAGAAATCATATAGAAACTCATTCTTCATTTATATTCAGAGTGAGCTGAGTATTATTTCATCATTTCTATTATAATAGAAGAATTTATAATAAATAAAGAATTACTTAATTAAATTAAAAAATTATGGTTGATAAAAAAAGGGTTAATAAAAAAGAAAACAAAAGAATTATCCAAAAAAGAAAATACTTTAAAAAATTTTTAAAATTTAAATTTTTAATCCAAAAAGCGTTGTGAACTAAAAAAAGTATTTTTAGTTATGTCAGAAAAAGAAATAAAAGTGTTTGATGAAGAATTAATTAAACACCATATTAAGCCAATGATTCATGAAGGAGATTATGTTCATGGAGTAGAGTGTTTGTATAATGAAATAACAAAACAAGTAGGTCATCCAATGAAACAACAAATAGATGGAATTTATATGACATATGAAAATATATTTCCAAAACAACCAAAACATTTAAGCAATGAACAAATCAAAAATACTATTACAGAAGTAGCTACATTAGCATCAGCAGAAATATTATTTGCTTTATGTAAATATTATAAGGAATTAAAAAAATGTCAAAGTGAATTATTCCAACCATTATCACAAATTGTTGTTAAAAAAATATTTCCTGTTTCTTTTGAATTTGTTTGTAGAACAACTAAAGATAATGATTTTAGATTTGAGTTACAAATGAAAAAATATATTAGAAGTGATTTGAGAGAAGTATTAAAAATTAATCCTAAAATTTATCCTTCTTCATATCCAAGTGATCCTAGCGTGTTTGGAAGAACTATCAATGTTTTAAATAAATTAGAAACTTCACCTACAATTGATGATATGAGAAGTGAATTAGTTAATTCACAAACAGCTATTATTGATGATGTAAAAGATATGCATGATAATGTTTTACCAAAAGACTTTGATAGTGATGATTTATTGTCTTTATTAACATTTTCTTTATTACATTCTACATTGAAACATCCATTTGCTATTTCTATATTATTAGAATGTTTCTTAACTGATGAAGATTTCTTAACTCAAGTTGGATATTCATTAACTACATTTACTGTAGCAATTCAATCAGTAATTAAAATGACTGAAAATGAATGTATACAAAATAAAGAATTATTACAATTAAATCCTGTAGATGCTCTTACTAGAAGAAATACAGTTAAAAGAAAACCTACTATAATGTGTACTCAACCTGTATTTAGACCAACTATTAATTCTTCTCATGAAAATATAATTATGGTAAAGAAACCTACAACTAAAAGAGAAGAAAAATTTATTATTGGAACACGTTCTACATTAGCAAAAAAGAAAGACAAACAAGTTGTTGGAAGTGTTGGAATTCTTGACTCTCCACTACATAAGAAAAATTTTACTACTTCATATGATGATAATTCTTATTATGAACCTTTTGGCACTCATCATATTGATAATCTTAAATCAACTGTTACTCCAGTTATACTAACAAGTTCTACTGTTTCTACTACTCCAAACAAAAATCATAGTGACCTTTCTTCTGAAGATATCATTTTTAGTTTATCACCAAATACTGTTCCTGAAAGTCCTATAATACCTTCACCAAAACATGAACAACAAGATGAACTAACTAAAAGTAATCCTATACACACAGATATTTGTGATAGCCAATTAAATGTAAGTGAACTCAGTAAAGAAAAAGAATTAAATAATAATTCTGAAATTGATTTTACATCAAAAATAACTTCTCAAAATGATATTCAAGTTAAAGCCATTGATAAGTCAGACATTCAAAAAGAAAAAATACAAGAAAATAACCAGTTTATTAATCAAATTACTACTGAAAGTATAATAGAAAATAATAGTAAAATAAAAAGTGAATATCAAAGTGGAATAAATAAGGATTTTCAAATAAAAAATAATACTGACAAACAAGACTTAGCATTAAACCAAGAAATAGTCAATGGAAAAATTATTCGAAAAGAACAAACAAATGATGGCTTAAGTGAAAAAGAAGAAAAACAAGAACAATATTCAAAAAAGTTTGATCAGTTAAATGACCAACACATAAAACAATCAAAAGAAATAAACGAACAAGACAAATTAATTCAAAACACTGAAATACAAGATGATTCTGAACGTTTATCTGTTTCTAAAGCTAAAATAAAATTTGAAGCTGCGGCTCAAGATGAATTAATAGAAAAACATCACAAATCAATATCTACACCCCCCAATTCAGTTTTAAGTGTTAAAGAACGAATGAAATTATTTGAATCAAAATTTATAGAAGAGGCTGAACCACAATATATTAAAAGAACAAAAGAGGCTAATCCATCTCATAAACCTTTAACGTCACAGAATAATGTAATTCAAAATTAGTCAACCTGTTTATATCATTACAGACTAATAACTAATCAAAAAAAAAAACTATTAAGAAATGATTTGAAAAACTAAAGAAATTACTACTTTTATTTGAGTTCTTCACACCACAAATTCTCTTTTCTAATTTGTTCTTCTTCTTCAGGAGTGAAATCATTAACAATACCAAATGTCTTTCTAATCTCTTCTGGGGTTTTTCCTCGAATCATATTAGCAACAGTTTTGCATGTAACATCAAGTAATCCTTTTACATCCATGAAATTAGCAGCTTGGAGTAGTTCAAATAATGTTGCTTGATCTACATTACAAAAATTTTTGTCCCAAGGCTCAATAGCAGTTGAGTCTTTTTCTTTATCATCACCAAGTAAAAATGAATGGTTGTGATGATAAGTCATAAATTCAATGACTTTTTCAAGAATTTTTCCACGAACATTCATGAATGGAACTGTTGGATTATCTTCACTAAAATCTTCAAGAAGATTTTTAACAACTCCAGAATTTTTAGCAATTTCTCTATCAACTACAAATTGCATAAGATCACTACTTTGAAGAGTAACTGTTCTTCCACTTGTTGCCATTTTTTATGTTTTTTCATTTTAGTTCATTTTTTTTTAACTCTTTTTGATAATTTTCATTTTTTTTTTAAATAAAAAAAGAGAATAACAAAATTTTTGCATAACAATATAAAACACAAAATGTAAAAAAGAAAGAAGTTTAAAAAAAAAAGAAAAATAACAAATGAACTGAAAAACAAAAGATTGTTTGTTGGAATGAATTATTCATTTATAAACGAAGGACATTCTAAACTTACTCCACTATGTCTTCCTGGACCTGCCCATCCAACAAATGTTCATGCATGTGATTGGGATTATGGATTAATTGCAATTGCATTTAATAGTATTATTTATATTATTAATCCACTTAGTTGTAATATGTGTTATGCGTATAATGGACATGCAAGTCCAGTTACTTCTGTTTGTTTTAAAACAAATGACTTTCTTTCTACATTAAGTTCTCCAAATAAACCTGACATTACTATTGCTTCAGGTGATGTTAGTGGTAAAATTCATGTATGGGGAATATGGTCTACTTCAAAACCAATAGAATTTGAATCTTTAGACCATTCTCCAGTTGTTGGATTACAATGGGATAATTGTAATTCTTCAGCATTAATAGTATTATATCGGAGTGGAACATTAATATGTTACGACATTTTGTCTGAAGAAAAACATAAACCTAAATGGGTTGTCAAAGACATATTTAAAGACCCTATTGGATTTAGTAATTCTATATACGCAAGAGGTTCATTTGGTATTTATGGTGGACAAAGTATGTGTTTTTGTAATTTAGCTAGTTCAATATTTAAAGGATATGAATTAGATACTTCAACACCAAATCTTTTAAGAGTTGAAGAAGGTGTTTTACGACTTAAATATTCAAATATTCGTCGTCAAGTTACTTATATTTTATTAACAAAACATTTCTTAATTTTTGATACAGCTCTTCGGTCGACTTTAGCAACAATTGATTTACCAGAAGAACCAGCTGATTTTACTCTTTTATATAATGAAAAATATTTTGCTTTATTAACTCATAATGGAAATATTTTTGTTTATGAGATTATCAATCTTGTACAAATCCGTTCATATGGAAGAATGGAAATATCTTCAGTGCTTGCAAAAGGCAATAGATTACATAAATATACTACGGTTTCTATTGTTCCTGATGCTATGGATAACTCTAATCTTATTGTACGTATTCAAGAAGGTCCATTAATATTATTAAAATTAAATACAAATCCATATTCAATGGTAATCAAAGGTATTGTACAAACATTTCCTTCTACTATTCGTTGGTTTATATCTAAACAAATATATTCTGTAGGAGTTACTGAAGATGGAATGATGTATGTATTAAAAGGAGGAGAGATATACAGAATGTTTGAGATATCAAAATTAAATCCAAAAGGATTGTTTTGGTTAAATGATATAGTTGGAGTTTATGGAATTAAAATGAAAGAACATTCAAAAGAAAGTAAAAATTATATTATTTTTATTGATCCCTTAAATGGAGAAATAAAAAAAACACTAAAATTAAGAAATTGTTATGGAGAAATAAAAAAAGTATGTTGTAAAGGAGATAATAAAAGTATTGTAGTCTGTTATACAAATTCTCTGGAAGAAATTGAAATTGAAGGATATCGAATAATACAATTTATAGAAAAATCAGTTGTTGGAGTATCATATGATAAAGAATTAATGATAATAGATAAAAATGAATATAAGAAATATGGAAGTGGAAAAGATATAATCACAAAAGATGTAAGGAAAGGACAGTTTAGTGCTATTGCAACAAAAGGATTATATACGGTTCTTGCAGATAATAAAGGGTGTTTAACTATAATATATAACAATAAAGTACAAACAATTATTCTCCCTGATAATAAACATATTTCTAAAATTGTTTTTAGCCCAACTAAAGACTGTAATAATGTTATCATTTTAGGAGAAAAGGTAATAATATTTGATGTTGGTGGAATGCGTATTTTAAGTGGACATACTAATTATTTGACAAGATTAAATCTTCCTATATTAGATGTTTTTTGGTTAAGCCAATATCCAGCAGTATTACTTTCTACAGGAGAAGTTTTAGTACTTGACATGTGTCTATTTCTCTGTAATGGTTTATTTAAAGAAACTATGAATCCTCTACCATTAAGTTGTGTTGAACCAACAATACGTAGAGATATTCTATTTTCACTGTTACATGGAATAAAGTTAAAGAATCTTGATTATCCTATACCAAATAATGAAGATACTTTAGAACGTTTAATTGAAATATACTTTCGTCTTAAAGATATTAAACATTGGAAGTACTGGAATTTAATGAAGTGGGTTGTTGAACATAAATTGCCAGAATCAGGAAGTCCATATATTACTGTTCAAAATTATGTTGTTGAAAAAGATGAAACAACAACCCATTATTCCAATGCATTAAAAAATTACAATATTAAAAGTAAACTACAAATTGATTATCATGCTTTTGCATTAAGTGAAATGAGATTAGGTCGAAGAAATGAAGCATTTACTCATTTCCTTAAAGTGTTAAAAAGTCCATATGATGAGGAATATTTTAAATATGCAATGAGAGCATCTTTATTATCGTTAACTATGGAAGGAAATAGTTTATCTAGACAACGACTAATTACATCTTTATTTAATGACCCTTCAACTGATAAAACTCATTTGATTCAATTACATAAATTATTAAATCAGAATAGAGAAGTATGTAAGTTATATATTGATATTGGTAAATTTGAAGAAGCAATGGTAGTGTCTTCATTATTCTTAGATGATGACGCTAAAACTGATATTTTTCTTTGTATTGTGTTAAAATATATTTATGACAATTGTTGGCCTAAAGCAATAGAAATGCTCACCTCTATGGGAAGACTTATTGATGTTATTCGGTTATATTTGTATACTGGACATGTAGAAATGGCAGCCCATGTGTCTATGGTGATTATCGAAAGAAATCTGTTTGATCTTAATATGTCATTACATCAAATTTATCAACTCATTCACGTTCCAAATCAAGATGAACGAAAATTTGGAACATTAAAAGAGCTTATTCGTCATGTTATGTCAGAGTATGTTCATTGCTTAGAGTCATTACCATCCAATGAGTGTCTTGTTAGTGCTTTTAAACATTCAAAATTTAATATCTAATTGTAGTTTTCTTACTTAAAACTTTTTTTACAGTTATTTGCTCTAAAATTATTTTAATATAACAAAACAACGTCAAAAATTAAGACTTTTTGAGAATATATTCTTAATTAACTAAAGTTATCTTACTTAAACTGTCTAATTGTTAACTAGTTATTGAAAGATTTCATTTTATTAATCAATCTGAGTCATATCATAAAAAAAAACAAAATAAATAAAATGACTATCCATAATAGAAATCTTATTTATTTTCAAAAATTACAACCGAATTATTTGTTGTCCCACAAACAAGTTTTGTATCATTAAAAGAACTACAACAAAATCCACTCACAAGTGAAACAAAATTACAATTCTTTAAATGACTATTATCACATTCTGTAATTGTAATATAACCATGTTCACAAATTGAAATCACTTTTCTGTTGTAACAATTAACAGCTTTCACTGGGAAAAAATGAGCTGGCCTATCAATTACCTTAGATGTATTTCGAATATCCCATAGTCTTATTGAACAATCTTTACTTCCACTAATAATATAGTTTTCATCAAAATGATCAAAATCTGTAACATTTCCAAGATGTCCTTCCAGCTGAAAAGCAGGAAATTGAGCACACCTAATATCATATCCAACCATTTCATCTTTTCTTGCTACACAAATAATATCATCTGATATTAATTTGACTTGATTTGTATCGTTAGGAGATATTTTAACAACAGTTTTGTTATATGGTTCAGTGATACTAAAACATTCAACTAAATCTCCCCACCCAATAACTTTGTTCTTATAAAAAGATGTTCTTTCATAATATCCTATTTTATCTCTTGTTACTTTTTCTTTAGTAATATTATTAATTATTCCATTTTTAAATAATACAAAAATTCCTTGCTCTACACTATTTATTCCACATAAAGGAGCTGATCCAATAAATGACCAATCAATATTATATTTATTCTGTTTATTTAATACTCTAATTATGCCATTTTCACCACCAACAATAACATTATCTCCTTTAATAATAACAGAATGTGGTTTGCATTTTACATTACATTGATATTTACAAACATCAAATTTAAACCAATTAACTTCTCTTTGAAAACTTCTTTTACTAAGTTCAAACCAGTTAGGCTTATAAAACTTTTCTTTTATAATTGTTTTGTCAAAAGAATGTACGTCCTGATATTTATTATAAACTCTTTTCCATATTTCTTCAGCTTGACTTGATTTTAATAAAGTTCTAAAATGATTATTAGTCTGCATGAGAGAAAAAAGATGTTTTGGTTGTAAGAAACTACATATTTTTAATTGTATTTTAACATCCAGCTTAAGTAAATTAAAAGGAGATTCTTCTAATTGACAATGATGAAAATTCTTGACAAGTTCTAATGTTTTAGATATAACAGTAACAGAATTGTTATTTGAAGCAATTCCTTGTAATAATTTAAAAGGAAAAACATTTAAATGTAAAAGAAGATATAATGCATGCCCATAAAGAATAACAAATAATGCTTTATGACTCGTACTATAATAGTTTATTTCTTCTTTTAAAGAAAAATGTGAAAGATCAATATGATATACCGATTGAATGATTGTTTCATTATTTTCTCTAAATAGTTTATTTCCACTTGGTAATAGTCTAAATGAGTTATGTTGTTTTGTACATTCAGGACAATATTCGGATCTTAAAAGTGCAACACCTTCTTCAGAATTAAATCTTTCTATTCTAACAATATCAAATTGTGAATCAAATGATTCAACATGATAATAACTTTTAAATTCTTGTTGTTTAATAAGCTCTTGAGAAATAAATAGATTTTTATTCTTAGTATATTCATTAAGTAATGTCTCAACTCTTTTACTACTTCTCATTTCACTTTGTATAACCATTTTCTTTTTGTCCCCTGAAAGAAGAATTCTAACAACTTTATTTTGATGAATAATAAATGGATAACTATTTGTTGAGATTTGTAATGCTTTCTCAAATTCATCTTCAATACTTTTCATTGATTGTTTTCTTTGTTCATACCTACTAGCTTTTTCAAATGCCATAATACAACAATGAATACTCCATGATATACAAGAATAAAATTTTATATTAAAATTTGAATATAATGTCATTAAATGAATAATAACTGCCGTAATTTTGACTGATTTTTCTGATTTTTTTTCTACAATGACTGTTAAACTATGGAATAATCCATTTACAGTATTAACATTTTTAGACCAACATTTATTTTTTTCATATACTACTTCTCTTGTACATATAATTGCTCCATTATTTGTTACATCTTCATGTATTGGATATATTTTATAAGTACCATCTTTTAATACTTCGACCTTATCTATATAATCATCATATTTTACACCTTCAATATAATTTTCTATATGATGATAAGCTTCTTGTAATGAAATTGGTAATATACTTTCACATGACTGAAAAATACGTCGATTTTCAATTTTTTTTCGATAAACACATTCAAAATCACTTGAAATAGATATTCCACTTAAAACTTCCCATGTATTGATTTCATTATAATAAAATTCATCCATTTGAGTTATTCAGTTCGTTTATCTTTTTTAGCTATTAATTCTTTTCTGTTACTCAAATCCTTCCATATTTCTACACATATTCTTTTTTCTTATTTTTAGGTTTTTCTTTCATCTTCTTTTTTTTTCTATTTTTCTAAAGAATTTTCCCTTTCTCTTTTTCTTCATTACTTCCATTCTCTATAAAAATCTTATTCATAACAAAAATTTTTTATCTTTTTGTTATTAATAAAAAAAAAATTAAAAAAAACTTAAAAAACTAAAAAAAATTTAAAAATAAAAATGACAAGTGAAAACACAAATTTTGAATTAGAGATTAGTGATGATGGAAATGATGCTGATGAATTTTTACAGAAAGCTTCTCAAATCGCAAGTGAAACTGCTTTTCTTGAAGATGATGGGTTTATTCAAAATCCTATTCAAAATAGTGAATCAACACTAACCTCTAACTCTACTACTAATGGACCACAGTCTGAAACAGAAAAAGAACAAAAAAATACTACACTACAATCAAATGATTTAGAAAATGAACCACCTTTATTAGAAGAATTAGGTATTGATCTTAATAAAATTGGTAAAAAAATGATTCAAAGTTTAAATCCATTTTCAACACCAGATGTAAGTGAAAGTGATGTTATTGGTTCAATAATTATTTCATTTGCATTAGGAATAGTTATTTTATTAAATGGAAAATTAAGATTTGGTAACATTTATGGATTTAGTATTATAGCTTCTTTTGTTGAATATTTAGTAATGAATTTATTATCTAATAAAAATATGAATTATTTATTAATATTCACCCACTTTGCTTATAACCTTTTCCCAATGATCTTTTTTGGGTTAATACTATTCGTCTTGAATAGTTTTAAAGCTGCGTTTGTATTATTTTTTAATTTTATTAATAATAATTATTCTTATCATTAGAAATTTAACTATATTAATTACATCATTTGTATTTGTAGTTATGTCAACTTATACATGCTCTAAAACTATCAATTCACTTATGGAACTTCCAGAAAAAATTTTATTGACTATTTACCCAATATCACTTTATTATGGACTCTTTATATTATTCGTCATATTTTAATTGAATCCAATTCCTTTTTTATTGTTATATAAATCAAAAAAATGAATGAAATTTATTTACCACACCAAATAACTACAATTCGATCAAACGGTTAAAGTGTTGGAGGAAGTGGTTGGAATGCTGGGAATGTCATAAAATGACTTCGTGATTTCTTTAATAACCCAGATGAAATTTTAATATCAACAAATTCACCATAGAAACAACAACCAACAAAACAAGCTACTAAACCACCAAAAAGTTCACCAATAACAAAAAAAGGGATTACTTGACTTACTTTTGTTACTTGAACTTGGTGTTGTACTATTTATTAAATATAATACTTTAAATAAAGAAATAACTTAAAAAAAAAAAACAAACAGGTATGAATTTGGTATGAGGCATGAACTAAAGAAATAAGAGAAACACAAAATATTAAGAGAGTAATAGCTTTCATTAAAATTTTATGATTTTATTTCCAGTTTTTTTTTTACAAAGAGGAAAATAATAATAATAAAACTATATAAAAACTATAAAAAAGAAAAAGAAAAATAAAATAAAAAAACTAGAAAAATACCCTAAAAATATGGCTCAACGAGGTGCTACTATCAAAAGCATTGTATTAAAAGGTCATGAAAAGCCTATTACTAAAATTGAATTAACTCGTGAAGGAGATTACTTTGTTTCTTGTTCAAATGATAAAACTGCAATGTTATGGAGAGTTGATCCATTAGTTAGTATGGGTGCTTATTCATGTGCTGGAGCAGTATCATCTTGTTCAATTTCTAATAATGGCCTTTATTTGTATTTAGCGTCAAGAGATGGTTCATTGTATTGTTTTGAATTGGAAACAGGAAAACAAGTATATAATAAATTACCTATTCCTGGTTGTTATGCACCAATTAAAAGTGTTGAATTATCACCAAATAATGAAAATATTTTAGCTGTTATTGGTGCATTTAGAACATTTGCTTCTTCTGTTAATTTGATTGATCCAGAAATGAAAACAAAACCAATTTCTGTATTGTCACAAGAAATGCCACAATTAACTAAAGCTAAATGGTTAAGTAATTCTACTTTTATTGTTGGAGATGAATTAGGTAATTTGAATATGAAAGACATTAGAACACAAAATAATGGTCTTCGATTTGAATCTCATAAAGGTGAAATTACTGATATTCAATCAGATGCTAATGATATTCTTCTTGGAACTACTGGTAAAGATGGTAAAGCTTTTGTTCATGATATTAGAATGCCACAAGAAGTTATTTCTACTTTTGAATCTGGTTATCCATTACAGTCTATTGGATTTGCTCCATATACAGATTATTATGCAGTTGGTGGTGGTCAAGATAAAGCAATGATTACTATGACTCAAAGAGATATGACAATGCTTATGACTACATTTGTAAGTGCTGTAGATGGACAAGAAATGGTACGTTTACCAGGTCATTTTGGTACTGTTAACACCATTGTATTTTCACATGACGGTAAGACTATATTTACTGGTGCAGATGATGGTTGTATTAGAATTTCTCCACTAACGAACCCTGTCTTTGCTTCTAATTGATACATTTTGATTTGAATCTCAGCAAAAACTTTATTATTTTTATTAATGCAAGATTTTTTTATTTATATCTAATTGATTATTAATCAAAGAAAGTGAAAGAAAAGTTATTATAATAAAAAGATGATATATAAAAATATTTTTGTTATGTTATTATAAATTAATTCTATGTTTCTTCTTTATTTCATTAAGAGATTATGTTTTATCATTTCTTTAATTATTGTGATTGGATATATTGCTTTGATTATATTTATTTCATATTTTGGATTTATTCAATCACTATTTCTCAAGTCTGAATGGATATTAGAAGGAATAAACGACAATAATTCTTTACTTCAATTTGTTTTTACTACACCAGGAAATTATCGGATTAATATTAATTCATTATCAATGGAAATATTTATTGGAAACATGTTAATAGGAAATGGAATAATGACAGATTTTACAATAAAACAAACTAATAAAATAGAGATACCTTTTTACGATATTCAATATGAAGATTTATTAACTTCATTACCGTCTCTTAGTGTTTATCTTAATTCCTTTAAAGTAAGCTGTTTTTCTTTTAAGTTAGAAGAAAACGTTTATTCTTTAAAACAAAAAATAGAAATTTGACTTTCTCTTTACAAACATTTGAATCTAATTGATTACTTCCTTACTATTATTTTAAGTCATTTGTATCCAATATTTAATTTATCAGAAAATCATATATCTCTTCTTTGTTGATCATCATTTCCAACATTATTTCGTTGTTGATTATCATTATTTCTTTGTTTAGCTAATTTATCAGTATATTCACTAAAGACACGAACAGTATCAGTTGCTTGTTGTTTAGTATCAAATTCAATACAAGCAAATTGAGTTTCGGGATTTCCTTCAAAAATATAAAATGACTTCCCCTCAGACTTCCATTTACTTATTCTGTTTAATTGTATTTTCTTTTGAAGAGTTCCACTACAATTTGTTATATAAACACCATCTTCTCCTAAAGAAAGTAAAGTACGATCTTTACAATGTTTACCAATAATCCCTATTGTTTTAATTCCTTCACACTCACTTAATGCGGTCACAAAACAACGAATCAAATAAGACTTTGGAAATTTTGAATAATTTACTATTTTTTTGCCTAAGAGAATTAATAGCTTGTGTGTTAAAAATGGTTGTAGATGAAAAGGGATGAAAGACTTTGTTTGAACCCCAAGAGAATGATATAGTTTAATTTGTTCTTGTTCTAATTGTTCTAAAGAATGAAGAAGAAGATAATGTTCAATAGTACTAATATCATTTAATAAAGGATTAATAGTAATATTTGATGATAACAAAAAATTAAAAACAGCCATTTGGGTATAAGGAATAACAGAAATTGCATGGATATTTGACATAAGAATTGATTTACATACAAGGAAGAATTGAGTAAAATAGTCAACGGGAATAAAACCAGAACTAAGATATAAAGGTGATAACTTAATCATAATGGGTGTTTTATGACTATAATACTTTGTAATAAAATATTCAGATAAGTCAAAGTTAGAGTCTTGAGCATCACAATAACCATCAAAACCTATTGAATAAAAGACTTCTGCTATAGTTTTTGAACAATCCACTTCTTTTCTTATATTAATATCATTATTTAATTTAAATACAAATGACTGATACCTTTCAACAGGAAGTAAAACTTTAGTTTTGCTTAAGGTACTTGCAAAAGTCAATGGCTCAATTAATTTTCTTTCTTTTAAATCAATAAAAATTATTTCATAAGAAAGTAAATTTATTTGTTGATAACGTTGTGCAACACTAAACATTAATTCCTTTTTATTAACTGAGAAAGGTTGAAAAACAAGTTGTTCTTGATCACTAATAAGTATTTGTGTATTGTTATTCATCATATTATTTTATTTTGAGTTTTGTTCGATATAAAAGTTCTATATTAAAATAGATAACAATACTATTAGATATATATTTACTTATGAATGTAATATGTATTTCTAAGATATTATTTGGTTTTTAGTCATACATTATTCTCTTATATAGTATATGTATTATAAGATGACTTGTATAAGTATGAATTGTTTTATTATCATTATGATTAAACATCTTTGAAGACTAATAACAAAGAAAATTTATTAATTTCATTACCCTAATACTTTTACTTAAAAAAAGAATTACTTCTATGTATAAAAAAACAAAAGAAGGAAAAGAGTTAAGCAAATTAACTAACTAATTTTTAACTTTTTAGTTTTGTTTAAGATTGAATCTTTTCTTATTAATTTCATGATAAAAACAAATAAAATCTATTTTGTTTAGTGATACTGAAAAGATTAGAAAAATATTTTTCTGATGAGTTGATTCAAAATGAAAATGAAATATACATTTAAAACTACAAGTTTTAACGATACTTATCAGAAATAAAGATCGTTTCCATTATAAGATGAACGTTATAAAATAACAAATAAAAAAGAATAAAAAATAAATACAAAGTAAAAAATAGAATTAAAGAAAATAATGAAAAAAGAACTTTAAAAACAAAATCAAGAAAAGCACCATATTTTCTTAATTTAGAATTATAAAAAGTTGAAGTAGTCCACGTAGTCATTAATAAGAAGAACTATAAAAGGAAGGAAAAAAAAACTACGAAGACATATACAATTACAAATGGCTACTGAACAAGAGGCTATGGCTTTAATGGGAAGCATTGATGTTCCAAATGGACAATGGGTAGTATATGAAGTTAAGAATAAACAACTTGTTTTCAGAACTTCTGGAAATGGAGTTGATTCACTTCGTGATGAGCTTAAGGATGATGAAGCATGTTTTGCTCTTATTAATCTTAGATGTACTCTTGAAGGTATTCCAGATCAAGCAAGAGGTATTTTCATTGATTGGAAAGGACCAAAATGTAAAGGAATTGCTAAAGTTAGAGTTAGAGAATTTAAAGATCAAGCACTTGAAGTATTAATGCCACATCATGGTGAATTAGAAGCTGTTGGAAAAACTGAATTTACTGAAGATATTATTCTTAAGAGATGGGCTATGAACTCTGGTTCTCACGTTATCAACTAAATTATTTTTCATTAATGTTATTTTAATTTTTATTTTTAATTTTTCTTTGTTTTATTCATTTATTATTTTTTTTTGTTAAATTTATTATTCTTTTTAATTTTAAAAGAATCTTAAAAGAAAGATCAAATTAAAATTGAACAATTCAAATATGGAAGAAGTACCAAATTTCTTAATCAAATTTGATGAATATCTTCAGCTTAGAATGGCCCAACAACAAAACGATTTTTATAAACAAAAAATTTCAAAACTTGAATCAGATAAAGAAAAACTCTTTCAAGAAGTAGAACGATTAAAAATTGTCATTAACAAACAACAACAACTCTTTTCAAATAAAATGGCGGAATACCTTCAATTTAAGTCTGAAATATCAGCAAAACATTCAACCCAAATTAAAGAAAAACAAGAGCTTATAGATAAAGAAAGGACAGAAAAACATCATTTATTAATTGAACTTACTTCTCTTCGTATCCAAGTTAAACAACAAGAAGAGCTTATTAATAAACTTAAAAAATCTGAAGATTCTGATATTATCAGAAAGAAACCTCGAGATTCTAACGCTTCAATCACATCTCAAAAGATAGTTGTTTCTGAAAAAAAAATTTCTGCTTCTCCTCAAAAAGTTTACGATAGTACAGATACAATAACCCAACAACCTCTAATTGACTTAATACAAAGTCATGAAATTGTTCCTACAACTACTCCTCCGTTGTTTCAAGTAAATGATAAGAGTGTTAATGAAAAACAAAAAGTTGAAAAAAGGGTTAGTGTTGAAAAAAACAACTCCTCTCTTGATAGAAAAATAACTCCATTATTATTAAATGATAAGACACAAAAAGAGGTTCATAGGTTGGTTCTCCCAAAAACTGACTTTATTTTTACTGTTAATTATAAAAAGGTATGTGAAATATTGTCTCTGATGGTAAAGAATAAATGGTATGAACCAAAAACATCTTATTTCAAGACTTCAATTGTTTTTGATGAGTATTGTAGAAAAGTGCCAGTTCTTTGTTTTAAAGGAACTGAAGACGATTTATGGAAGAGAAAAAGTGTTATTAAAAAATTTGTTGAAACCATAGATAAAATTGAACTTCTTCGTGTTTCTCAAGGAAATAAAAGGCATATTATCTTTGGTGGAGTTAGGCAAAAATATGTCGAATATTATGACTCTTTTTAATTAAGTCTTGTTCATAGATGATAGTTATATTAATCTAATCAAATTCTTAAATAAACTTCGTTAAAAAGGATAATTAAAATAAAAACAATAAGATTCAATAAACTATTTAATTCTGAAATATTGTAGACTATTTTGTTGTAATAAAATGATAAGCAACGTTAAGAGAATTAAGTCCTGAAAATTTATCGTATCACAATTCTTTGTAAGACTTTGATATTCTTTTGGTAATAAAAAAATAAATTTGTCCATTTAATTTATTTTTTATTTATTTATAAAAAATGGTAAATACCAGTAATAATATCAAAATATAAAAAATTGCTATATAAAACGAAAATAAAGTAAAAACAAATATCAAATGAATAATAATTTTCAAATATAATCATTTGCTCAATCAACAACAACAACACTCTTTTTCATAAACTCAAATTTATTTCATTTTGTTATTCTTTTGAACAACAAGTTAAAAAGTATTTTTATTGTACTATTCTTTTGTTATGATCAATTAATTTATAACAAAGTTTATCATTAAATAAACATATTTTAACTAATTTTTTTTAGTTTTGTATTAGTTAAGTTTGACTAATTTTATAACAGAATAAAATAAAACATGTTATATAATTAAAGTTAAATGTATTAATAGACTATCACGTAATAATTTGTTAGTGTGTAACATTTTAATTATTGTAAATAATTAACGATAAAACAATCATTTTTATTATCCTTCACTATTGCTACAAAATAAATGGTTCAAAAAGAAATAATGAAAAGAAAATTACTACATTTAATTTCTATTAAATCATAACACAATATAAGAAAGCACAAAAGCTTACTTTTCTTGAAGTTACAAGAGACTTTAGTGAATTTCATTAACCTTACTTATTAAATAACTTCATTTTTCATAAAGAGTTTATTTAATATTTTATCATGTTCAATGAAATACTCTCTTAAAGTATTATTCAATTTCTTCTACTTTCTTTTTTTTAAAAATGACTTAAATTAAATGGTGTATCTTCTTATTTGATTAAGTCAACTATTCTACTAAGGTTGTATATATTCCATTACTGATGTAGTTTAGTAATAATAAATAAAATAAAACACTACATGATAGTATCAAATATAAAATAAAATGATACATTAAGGATAAAAGAATTTTCATTCAAGACAGATAAAAAGATAAAATATTTAATAATATCAGACAAAGCAATACACAAATATTCTAATTTTATATATGGTAACTAAATTTATATTGAGAATTAATATTTTATTATATCACTTAATCATCTATCAATTTAATAATAGTTTTAAATACTACTTATGAAAGTTAAAATCATTTTGTTTGTAAGACTAAATGAAAAGTTCCATTAATCAATATTAAATTTTTGTATATAAAACAGAAATATTTTTGAGTAAATAAATGAATAACTGTTTAATTTTTTAAAACAAAAAAGAAATTATCTATTCTAAAATAACAACCAATAGAAGAGATAGACAAATTTATTTTAAAGATTTACTTTATATTTAGTTTTTTTTTTTTGAAGTAAATGAAGTAACAAATTTACAATAGAAATTTTTTCTGAGTTTTTTGTTTCAAATTTTTTGATATTTATAAATAGCTAATAACAAAAACCATTTTGAAAAAAAATAAAAAAAGAAATTACTAAAAAAATAAAAAGGCAGGTGGGTTAGTACAAAAGAAAACTTAAATTTAATCATTTTAATGTCGCGTTTAAAGAGATCACCTGCTTATCATGACTTCAATAAAACTAATCAAGAAGAAAGTGTTAATGAACAAACACTAACTGAAAATTCATTCTTTTTATTTGCTGATAGAATTCCATCTCCACATATGAGAAGTGATGGTTCACCAACATTAGAAACAGATGAAAAAATCGAACAATCAATTGAAGAATTTGGAAATGAAGAAAAACCTATTAATACTCAGTTACACCAAGAACAAGAATGTAATTGTTATACTGATACCTCAACTTCAGTTTTTGAATTTTCATTTTAAGAGATCTTACAAAAGAAAGTAAGTAGAATTAGTTAAATAGAATAATGTAGCATTATAGCATACTCTTAAATTAAACAACAATGTGTTTTATAGAATTTTTTTAATTCTTTATTCATTTTACTTTTGTTTTATTTTCATTTTTTGAATTAAAAAAATAATTCAATTAGAAGATTTATTACTGTTGTATAAATTCAATTTAATTCATTTTCAAATTACTGATATGAGAAGCTTTAATTAGTGAATAGATAATAAATAAGACTACTAATAATCCTGATACTCCTATAAAAGAAAACATTAACATCATTAAATATGATTGGTTTCTATTCCATTTTTTTGGTACCAATACTACATTAACTCCTCTTAAATTAAATGGTTGTTTGGGACATACAACATCATCTTTAAATGCATTAGCAACAATATATGTTCCACATTTAATACGGGATTTAATATCAAAAGCTTGTTCGTTAACAACGGATTTAATTTGTGGTACATTAAGAATACTTCCTTTAGGTCCATAAACTAAATAAACTTCATCAGTCACTTCTCCTCTAATAACTATTGATGAGTCTTGAGAAAATGAAATAGTTGAACCTGTTGGTCTAAAATCAGTTCCTAATCCTTTTCCTGGACCTAATGCAAAAGCATTATGATTAACATTAGATAAAGAAATAGTTGATGAGGAAATAATAAGATTTGAATCATAGACAACAGCTAGTCCAGTTTCTTCAATTTCAATTAATGAATTTTTTAAGTTATTAGTAGTTAATTCTAATGACCCTCTATTTTGAATAAAAATTTTAGTATTTTCAACAACTTGTGTTTCTAATGTTAAAATTGCTAATGGATATACTTTAATTATAGTAGATTCTTCGAGAACATTAATTGTATTAATTAATATTTGACCTTTAATATTTAATGGTCCTGATTGTTGTTTAATACTTCTAACAACAAAATCTCCAACTAATGTACATTCTCCAAAACAAGCTAATTGATCAATACTTATTCCATTAGCTTTAATTGTTAAATCATTACCTTCAATTCCTCCTATATCTTCAGTAATTTGAATAGATTTACCTTCAACAATATAGTTACAATATAATGAATCACAAGTACAAGTTGTGTCATCAGGTAATATTAATTGGTTCTTATTTGTTTTACAGTTTTCTAAAGTATAAATTGGTTTGTTATTATATTCATAACAAGCATATATTCCAGTTTTAGAAGTGTCTAATACTAAAGATGATATTGAATTATCACGTGATGTTATTGAAAAAGAAATATCACTGCTAGATAATTGAATAATTCGTTTACAAAGGTTATCATGCCCACCATCAAAGTTAATATCAACAACTCCTTCTATTTCAACTTTAGAATTAGTAATAATCCATCCTTTAAATGTACTTTCATAACTACCATAAATAACACCAGATGATAACATCATTTTACTGTCATTCATAAAAATACTTCCTTTATTATTTAAAAAAATATTAACAGATGACGCAATAATTTGTGCACGTTCAAATGTTGTTACTCCATTAATTATTATTTGTGAATCAGTTAAATCAATAAATCCTGTAAGTTTAACATTATCAAAAGTTACTTTACCAATAACATTAAGTTTATTAACTTCAGCTGAAACAAGTTCTAATGAATTAGCAACAATACTATTAAATTTTCCTTTTAATGTACTTTCTCCTTGGACTATAATCTCTTCTGCTTCAAATAAACTTCCATCAATTTCAGTATGAAGTTCTTCTGGTATAACCAATTGATAAATCTTTTTATTCTTAATTTTATTAAGATCATATCCTTGTGTAAGAGTAATAGAAATAGG